TTGTGTGTGTGTATGTATACTTCATATATTTGCTATGTGCTGTTAGTATGTGTTGAACAGAATGAGGTTTGTTGTGTGTGTAGATGATCCAGATCAGTCTGAAGCTATTAATCTCTTTTCTTGCTGCTGTTCTTCAGGTGTCGTCTGTACGTTTGTGTGTATGTATACTTCATATATTTGCTATGTGCTGTTAGTATGTGTTGAACAGAATGAGGTTTGTTGTGTGTGTAGATGATCCAGATCAGTCTGAAGCTATTAATCTCTTTTCTTGCTGCTGTTCTTCAGGGACGTGTCGTCTGTCGAGCTTCTCATGAACAACCACCAGGGTATCAAGGCTGAAATCGATGCCCGTAACGACAGTTTCACGACCTGCATCGAGCTGGGCAAGTCTCTCCTGGCACGGAAACACTATGCATCAGAGGAGGTGGGTACCATCCGCAGGACAGACGAAGAGGTTCAAGAAAAGAACCGTCTTTACACCGATCCAGTCCTTCATGTCCGTTTACCTCTCCCACAGATCAAAGAGAAGTTGTTGCAGTTGACGGACAAGAGGAAAGATATGATTGACAAGTGGGAGGACAGATGGGAGTGGCTTAGACTGAGTGAGTATGATAGGAAATATCTCAAAAACTCTTGTTTTCTCAGCTTTTTAAAGATTAGGATAAAAATAATATGCATTTTTTATATAAATAATATTTGTATATATATTAAATGTATTATGTTAGTAAAAAAATACATTTAAAAATGCACGCATAAATACAGAAAAACAGTAATATTCAGCAAGGATGTTAAATTGATAAAAAGTGATAGTAAAGACTTATATTGTTATAAAAGATTTCTATTTTTTAATTTTTAAACAACTTTTTAATCATCAAAAAATCCTGAAAAAAGTATCACAGGTTATAAAATTAATATGAAGCAGCACAACTGTTTCTAACATTGATAATAAATCAACATTAGAATGATTTCTGAAGATCATGTGACTGAAGACTGGAGTAATGATGCTGAAAATACAGCTTTGATCACAGAAATAAATTACATTTTAAAGTATATTAAAATAGAAAACCATTATTTTATATTGCAATAATTTTTCACAATATTGCAGTTTTTTTCTGTAGTTCTGATCAAATAAATGCAGATTTGATGAGCATAAGCGACTTCTTTCAAAAACATTAAAAAATAGTAATGTTTCCAAACTTTTGATCAGAACTGTGTAAGTAAAAATATACAAAATTTAAAATTAAATGTTGTTGAAATAAAAAGGTTAGGAATCAAATTTGTTTCAAGTGCTTTGTATTGGGGGTGGGGGGCCTCCAAATGTCTAGAACCGGCCCGGTCTCCTCCCATGATGCTTAGCAGCTCTGATAGACTTATTTCTGACCTTATAATGGGAAGTGTGTAATAGGATGTGGGCAGCTTGAGCTTTAAATCATTGACACTGACTTCCCCTTTCACCTTGCCTGTGTTTGTGCAGTTTTGGAAGTGCACCAGTTTTCACGTGACGCCGGCGTGGCAGAGGCGTGGCTGCTGGGACAGGAGCCGTACCTGTCTGGCAGAGAGATGGGACAGAGTGTGGACGAGGTGGAGAAGCTGATCAAACGTCACGAAGCCTTCGAGAAATCGGCCGCTACTTAGAAAACACGCCTGCATGCCACACAGATGCTGTTCTACACTATCAGGTAATGTGTTTTAGTACATACTCAGTACAGTTACATTTTCTGATGTTTAGGTTTGTGTAAACAGGTGTTTTTATAAATAGAGTACTTAATAATACATAATAAAATTATATTAATATATAAAATGTGTTATTTTAGTCAAAGAAATTATGAAATGTATTAAGATTAATATAATTTACTAATATAAATAATATATTTATATTAATATATAAATTGGATTATTGTAATAAAAAAACATTTAATTCAAAGTTTAATATATTTAGATTAGTATAAAACTAATATAAATACATATATACTTATATTAGTATATTAAATATATTTAATAATTAATATTGTATATAAATAAAATGTATTTAATACTAAATAATAGTAACAAATAGGCATTCACAATATTAGATTTTTGCCGATATCCAATATGCAGATATTTTTCAAATAAAAATGAATTTTTCTGAATTTTTGCTCAGATATTTTACAGGTAAGCAGTTAACAAGGATGTTTTTTGCACAGTTCAGTGCTGATATATGTGAAAGTGAAAGATATAGAAAGCAGGGTTGCTGATGTAATAAAGATAGATGCATAATACAATATAATGAAAGCAAGTGAGATTTACACAAACTAGTGGAAATTAAATAAAAAATAATCATTATAATAAAATAATGCATTATTCAAAGGCAGCACTGTCAATGAATTTGAAACTGATGCAGGTGATGTGAAGTTTTGTCTGTGTGTGCGTGTGTGTGTGTGTGTGTGTGTGTGTGTGTGTGTGTGTGTGTGCGTGCGTGTGTG